CATGTTTTGGTTAGCAGATTCTTGTTGGATATAGGGTAATAATGTCTGTTTTTAAAATACTTATTTTACCCCCAAATCTTCAATTTAGTTAAACGTGGCAGAACATTTAATAATTCAGTTTTTGCTTTCTGGATTTAAAGGTATAACTGTAAAATATTTTCTAGTGAAAAAAATATATATTTGCTATCTCAAAAGTATCTCTTACCAATTATTTCAGTTAACGGATGAACAGCATTTATATCTTGCTGCGTCACAGCTTCCCAGGCCATTGTCACCCTGAAATAGAAACGCACTTCTGCGGTCTCCCAGCTCTGGCCGCGATTTTCATGACACTGGGGTTTTAGGGGAAGCCCTTTCAGGGTGATGCTGTGTTGGCTGCTGCCAAGTTAGCCCTGCCACATCGCAAGCCCTGCACTACGGGCTCACACCACTGTGAGACACGGGGCTTTCCTTGATTTTCGGTGGATTGCCTGGCCTTTCTTCCTAGTCTGTTTTCATCTAGACACTCCACTGCAATCTGTTGGGCATCATGGCAGCATGCGAGCCTCCACTGACCGATGGACTGTGCCATACATGAGGTGCACTGGTTGAAAGTTGAACCCAGGTCTTTCACATGGAAGAAGAGAATTCTACAAGTCACCCACCACTGCCCCCTTTAAAACAACACCTATTAAACCAGGAAGAGGGAAGTCTTGGCTGAAGTCCAGGAGGTAGAACGAGGATAAAGTTCACCTCTCGGGACTCTGTGATTGAAGAGTGAAGCTTTGGGAAACCTTGAAGTTCTTTATTGTTCCCCTAACAACGTGCTCCCAGAAAGATGATCAGCACATAACACAGTACAGCCATGAGGATATGTATAAACATAAAAATGCCTTGTCATTGTTTTCGGGGATTCATGAATAGGCAGCTAGTGGGATCTCTTTCCCTGGAGGAGGAGGAGCATGGGAGAGAACAAGTGCACAAGCAAAGGACTCAGGTAGAAATCGCTCCGGAGTTTCAGATTTCTGAGGCCCCGTGTAAGACAGACCCGGCTGCGACCTCACCCTGTCTCAAATGAGCGTTATAATGGCAGCAAAAGTCCAACCCCACAATGAATGCAGTAACACCCAAGCCAGGCCGACATCAGCTCTTCTCAGAATGGGCTGGTGGAAGCCCTCATAAATAGGTAAACAGGGAGGACTGGGTGGGTCTAAAACATACTTGATCTTTTATCGAGTGAACGTATTTCTTGTCATGTACTAGGATATAAATTAGAATTAGAGTATGCCCTTGAGAGAGGCCTCTCTCAGGCTTGCTTCTGGCTCGCTGTCCCTTCAACGTTCCGCCTCCAGTGACTGCTGTCGACAGGAGGAAGACTCATCCAGCTTCCTGTCGCAGGAACTCAACGGAGCTGAGTGCTGGACGAGCTTCCCCAAGTGTCATGGTGTCTAAAGCCTATGCTGAGCCTTTCCTCTCAAAGCAGCACAGTTGTCGCCTTCTTCTTCAGATCGTCCAGCTTCTGAGATTCCTTGCTCAGCAGCCAGATGGAGTAACTAAGGTGAGAGGATACAACCCCGACGCACACCTTTCCTGATTTTATCAGGAGGTTGTCTCTTGATCCAGTTGTGGGGATGTTTGTTATCTTTATACTAAGTTAACCATTCACCATACCGAAGACTGCAGTGTTTGACTGTCGTCTGTAAGTGCTTCAAGTCCTCCTCACTTTCAGCCAAGCTGGTGCCCACTGCATAGCTCAGCTTGTGGAATGAACCTTCCTCCAGGCCTATGTTCCTCTTTCTAAATTTCCTACCAGTCCGAGGCCAGGCTCTCTGTCTGCTGTTAAAGCAAAGCTGTCTCAAAGCTATGCAACGGATAACATCTAAGAATGGGTCAGGCCAAGGCCCCGTGCAGATTTCAAAAGGCTGGACCTGTGTGATGTAGTGACTGAGAGGGTTAGCTTTGCAGAGATAAAGTAACAGAAAACGCCCACTCCTTCTGGGTGTATACTGTAGAATTCAACTAAGAAATTCTGAGTGAATGTTTTCCATTCCTTAAAAATATCCTGCCATATTCTAGTCTGTTCTATTTTTGTTCCTCCAAAGGGAGCCGTTCTCAGATTTCAAGATTAAGACTGAAGTAAGCATTCAGGCAGTTTTGATATTTCCCACGGCTTAAAGAGACAGTAGTGTCTGTGCCGCCTGCAGGCCAGTGTTCAGAGACCTGAAAATGGCTCACGGCCCGAATGAAGAAACAGGCTCAGTGCTATGTCCTAAACCCCTCAGACTTAAATAAAACTGTTAACTTAAGCTACTGTTTGAAAGTCCAAAAACCCACCAATTTAATCATTAAAATGTTATGAAAAGTTTCAGACATGAAGAAGAGTATGGAAGAATACAGCCATCATTTACATAACTCCCGGTTCAACTTAAAACGTTACCCATGCAGTTGAAGTCGCCCATGTCCCCCTACCCAGCCCATCCCCAGAACATTTCTATCCTGACTTTGATAGAATCATTCCCATTCTTTATCACTCATTTCTGTGTTTGTTTTTCATGTTGTAAACGTCATGTCAGAGGCCCTTCCTTACTCATGCAGGTGGAGGTGACTGAAATTCAAGGCCACCTTGGCCCTTAAAGTGGCATCCTTCCTCTTCAACACAGATGTTTCCATGAGCGTTGATTGTGGATCCAAGTAAAATGAAATCCTTAACAGCTTCAACCTTTTCTCTGTTTATCGCGATTCTGTATATTGGTCCAGTTGTGAGGATTGGGGGTTTTCTTTACGTTGACTTGCAACCCCCGTTGGCTGCTGCAGTGCTTGATGTTTGTCAGTCGTGTTTCAAGTGCGCCTCCCTTTCAGTTAGCCAGGGTGCGCCGTCTGCCGATCGCAGTGGTTAAGAAGTCTTCCTCCGGTCCTGATGTTGAGCGCTTCTTCACACAGTCCAGGTCCTCAGATTATTTGCTCCGTGTGCAGTCCAGAGTGAATCGGACGATACGAACCTGAAGCATGGCTTTACTGATTTTAAACTCTGCAAACGACGACCTCTTGGTCCATGTACAGGTTCTGTATGAATATGATGAAGTGTTCCAGAATTTCCATTCTTCTCAACGTAATCTGTAATTTGTTATGATCCACAAAGTCGAATGGCTTGCACAGTCAATGAAACAGAAGTAAACATCTTCCAGGACGTCTCTGCTTTGAGCCAAGATCCATCTGACATCAATAATAACATCCTCTTCTGAGTCTGAATTGAATCTCTGGTTTTCCGGGTAACCCTGCTGGTACTTGATATACCACTGGCATAGCTGGCTGCCTCACATCAATGCACATGCCATCACAGTATGACAAACTGAGGGACAAGGTGGGGACATCGCCCAGTAGGGACTCTTTGTATTCTGGGTACTAATCCTTTCTCTCTGTGCTTTGCAAGTCTCTCGCAGTCCGCAGTGTGTCCTTGGACTTTTCATGTGATGGATTTTGATGCACAGATGTTGTAAGTGTTTATATGGCTGAACTGCGTCAGTCATTTCCTTCCTTGGTGGGTCTAGATCTTGTCTCACAAATACTCAGACCTCTCTACTGCCAAGTTGTAAAGATATTCTCCAATCATTTCAGTAGTTCCAAGTTTCGCATTTCACACTTAGTCCTTTCTAGTTTTTGTGTTTGGTATGGGATGGGGATTGGTTATTTTCCATTTGCAAAACCAGTTGGCTCAGAAACCCTTCTTGAGTAGACCACTGCTTCCTCATGGTGCTTGTCAGACCGCTTCTGACATGTCCCAAGAATTCGGTTCTCTCTTCTAGTCCATCGGTCTATGTATCTATCCCTATCACTCACTGCCCTTGAGTCGAGTACTATAGAGAACCCCATAGCACAGGTTCGCACTGTCCCTGTGAGTTTTCCAGACTGTAACTTTTTACAAGAGTAGAAAGCCTCACCTTCCTCCTGCGGAGCAGCTGGTGGTTTTGAACTGCTGACCTTGCAGTTAGCAGCTTCACTCAGATTCATGACACCACCTGGGCTTTCATAGAAATCATTGACCGGGGGGCTGGGGAGAAAGAGGGGAAAGGGGGAACCCATCACAAGGTTGGATATATAGCCCAACCCCCAGGGGACAAATAATAGAACTGCCAGTGAAGGGAGACCACGGACAGTGTGCCACGAAACAACAGCAATAATATATCATTGATCAGGGTTGCACAAGTGTAGGAAGGCAAGGGAGGGAGGGGTAAAAAGAGGAGCTGATACCAAGGGCTCAAGTTGAGAGAAATTATTTTGGAAATGTTGATGGCAATATATGCACAAGTGTGCTGAATACTATTGAATGATGGATTGTCATAAGATTTGTAAGAGCCCCCCAATAAAATGATTAATTAAAAAAAATCATTGACCTCTAGTATAACATGCTGAAAAGATTTTTGTTCCTCAAAACTATTTTGGCCACGTTAGGCACAATTGTATCCACTTTTCTTGAGTTTGCTGTAGGGCTGAGCTAAGCAAGCATATAGCAAGGCAATAAACAGAAGCGGGGGGGAATTTAAGCAAATATTAGTCCTAGACAATTCATAAACAGAATATTTATCTTTAATCAATTTATAAAAGAATCTTTTATAAAGGTAGCCCAAATAAAAACATTTAATATCTGCAAAACCCAAAAACTATTTTAAGAAAATAACTTTTCTGTGCTGTAGCAAAGGACATTTAAAAATAGAAACTAGAGGACAGCTTTGTCAGTGTCAAGGTTTTTGCCTTTAAATACTTGCAAACACATTTTTGCACGCAGGTGGTCACTGGGAGCCCTCTGGCGTGATGTCAAAACTGTACACTTGTTCCATGGATCCTGAAGAGCTCCAGATGAGAGCTCCTTCCATTGTCCCTATGGAGACACCCTGACTCACTGGTCCCACCATAGCATGGGCCTATGAATGAAGGATTGTTCTCTCGGTCAAGGGCAGTCTTGTCTTCCTGCAGAGTTCTCTCAGTGACATTTCATGGCCTAATAATCACCATTTGTCTCACAGTGCCTTCAGATTCAGACTCTCTTATACGGACCGCAGGACAAGAAGACCCTGGCTACCCAGCAGACCCTGGACGGCCTGTCCAAGTGAGTTGGCTTTTCCTCCGTGTTCCTCTGACGATGTCATTCCTCTGCTATTCATAGTCTCAAATGGAACTGGTTCTAAAAGGCTCTGAGGTGGCCCATGGAAAGTTTCACTGGCAGGTTTCGTCATTCATAAGCTATGCAAGGTCAGTTCCTTTGACAACCGAGTGATGGAACAGAGTCTTGGCCCAGATTTTTAAGAAGCAGAATAATGGCACAGGCCGTGCTGGGTTGTCTTCCCACATGCCTGCTGGAGGGAGAAGGCATACACCACACGTGTGGCCTACGGAGCAGCCCTGCTCGGCCTGCCAGAGATACCCCTATGTCACAAGACCTTTGTCACGCAAGAAATGAAACGTACTGCCCGAGTCCACTCTGACTCGTAGGAGACGAGAACCGCCCTCTGGGTTCCAGGGCTGTGCGTCGCTCTTGGAGACTTACTCCTCACCTTTCTCCCACGGCGGGGTGGGGGGAATGTCTGGTGGATTTGAAAGGCTGTCCGTGGGGTTGGAACCTAAGCCTCGTCCACGGCACCATCAGAGCTCCTCCGTGCCTGTTACCAGGGATGGGGAGCTAAAGAGGCCTTCAACCCAACTCATCGATCCATTTTGTTCGTGTTCTGCTCAAGATTGTCTCATCTTAGCAAAATTGGTCACAAGGGGGAAAAATGTTTATCTTTTTGTGGCATGATTTTCCTTTCATTTCCATCCCCTCCCGAGGCGCCTTAATTAAATGTAGCTCAGTGGGTAGGCAAGCGCAGGCTGTGGAGGGGCTGTGCATGTCTGAAGGGCCTTCACTCACCCCCACCCCCACCCCCCGCCCCGGCTTTCTTGCAGGGCCTTGGAGGTTGCTGGGAAGTCCAGGCAGGCTCAGAAAGCCCTGCCAGCAGTCTGTCCCACCAGACCTCAGTATCCTGTGCCTAGAAAGGCAAAGGCCAACACCGCAGACTGAGACCTGCCCCCACCTCAAAGAAAGCTGCGATCAGACCTGGCCACTTACAGCTCTCTCCAACTGCAAGATAGGATTCACCAGCCAGGGTGTGGATCCTCCAGGATCCAGCATCCAACAGCGACGTCCCTGACCTCCACACCACATTTTGACAGTGAGTGCAGCCCTTCAGGGGTTCTGGCGCTGCTACAAAGCACTTTCCTTTTTACCATCTGAGTAGTTCTTCTTGCCAAGAAATTTTTTACCCATCCACACTGCCAAGAGACTTCCTTCCAAGCTCAAAACTCTGGGTGCACTGTGCAGGGACACAGGTGCATAGACTTGGCATCTGGTTGCCTGTCTAGCACCTTGCTCAGGTCTGTAGATTTGGGAGCAACAAAGTTCAGAATACCACCCCCCTCACCCCTAGAAAGAATAGACTGAGAAGAGAAGGGTAATAAAAGGGAGCCTGAAGCTCATGGTGTCCTGTGTTTAGGAAGGTGTGTTTCAACTGAAGTCGACCCTGGAGTCCCTCCAGCCTGAAAAGGGGCCCCTTCCTGTCTTCAGTCCCTCGTCAGACTGACTGAGCACCGGCCGTCAGCACCACAGCCGCGGCCACGCAGAGCTCACGACTGCGGTGCTGCTAGAGGCTCAACATTGCACGAGCGCTCGTTGGCGGCCACAGCAGCAAGGACAGACTGGGCTGGGCTGGGAGGCAGCGTCGGGGAAATGTAAGGCAAGCGGACAGGGTGCTGCCAACACTGAGCTTGCTGGGCAGGAGGGTCCTGGCAGAACTTTATGATCTTCCTGTGGCCTCTGTCCTCCAAGCAGGGAGAAGCCGGTGGCTGCCACTCGGAGCGTCTTTGTGCGCTGGCTCAGCCCGGGCCCTGTTGCCCTGAGCTCCAGGCCCGTCAGCGCTCCAGGCTCAGCACGTGTGTGGGTGCACCCCAGGACCCACAGTGACGGCCGGGCTCCAGTGGCAAGGTTGTCCTCGCAGACGAAGGGAAACCAGTGCAGGGCCAGGTGGATGGAGCACCCATGGGTGGTTGGGGGTAGCTCAGGCAGGCTCCAGGAACCCCCACCCCCTGGTTGCACAGGGACAGAATGGCAGAACCTCAGCACCAGAGAAGCCCAAGCCCCTCTAGCCCTACCTGTGCAGGGTGCCACCCTGAGAGATGGTGAGGGCAATACCCCACAGGGCTGTAACGGGGCAGAAGAGGAATGACTTCACCCAGCCCTCCCTCTCTGTGACTGATTGTCTTGTCCCCACTGCCATGGAGCCCAGGAGACCGTGTGCTGTGGGCCACGTGGGAGGCCACCAGTTCCAGGCAGCAGCCCCCAGTGCCTGTTCCCTTTCCAGTCAGTGCCACAAGCCCACCACGGTCCTTCTGGAATGTGTGGCTTATGTGGCAGTTGCCTTTTCATGACGAGTTTTTCGGTTATTTAGTGTTAAAAATAGATTCGCAGAACACATGCCATTTCAATGTTTATGTGGAATTCAGGAACATCGGATCCGCCCACCGTATGCAACCATCACCATTCAAAAACCACCGGGTCACTGCGGACTCTGGAGACCGCCTATGGGCGTCCAGGACTGTAACTGTTTACAGGAGGAGCTGCTGGTGGTTTCCAACTGCACATGGAATGAAAGAGAATGTGTCCATGGCCTCTCTCGTATCCCTTCATTGTCCTGGACGCGGTCATCTCCGAACACCTCCTTTTCCTCCTTCACCAATGCCGCCCTCCGCCTCCTGCCCATCATGACATCCGTCCCCATTTAATCACCAAAGAAAAAGAAGCTTCTCCGGCCTCCGTCTCAGGGAGGACAGGTGGACTGGCCACCCCTTTGACCTGCCTGGGTCAAGGCAGCACTTCCCAGACTCCTGCAGATCTCTGTGCAGTGTGCTCAGGCCTACAGGAAGACCTGCCCAGCCTGGGAGCCCAGCAGCTGCAGATCCCACCTGCACACCCTCAGAGCTGAGAAGCCTGCACTCCAATAGCTGGGTCAAAGCAGACCATGGGGCTGCTGCCCAGGTAATAACAAGAGTGCTGCTTGCCAGCGTTTTAAGTGGCAGCGCTGTGTGAGGCCGGCTAAGGATTCACTACGTCCTTCCTGTTCCTCATCACAATTTGCCTTGTTTCTGCTCGCAGTCAGCACTTAATCTGCTTCTTTTACCCTTTCCCCTGAACCTCAGGGTTCCAGGATTATTGCATGTTGCATTTGGCTTACCATTTTTATGGTAGTGTCTAGGCAGCCCGCCTGCCAAGTCGGGCTTGCTAGAAGGCCATTGCATTGGTTAACTCAACCTGAGGAGACGACAGCTGTTTTAAAGACTATTTGTTAAATAGGAACAAACGGAGAGCGCCCCGAAGGCACAATCAAAGCAGTCGACTGCGAACGGACGGTTGGCAGTTGAAACCCACCAGGGACTGCGGAGACAGAGGTCTTGCAATCTGCTTCCCTGATGGGGCAGGTCCACTGTCACACGGGGCCACTAGGAGTCTGCACACTGACACACAGCACCCACCGGCAGCGAGTCTGCAGAAAGGGTAAGCAGTTACAAATAGGTAAGGATTGCCAGCTACTCCGTGGCTTCAACCCACCTTGTTTTTCAAGCTCCTCCACGATGGCCTGAACACCTCCTCATTTGCACCATTGGGTAACCCCCCCCCCCCACCCCGAAGTGCTGCATCTCATCTTGGGGACGACACCTCCTTCCTGGGCAAGCAGGAGAGCTGATCACCCTGTTTGCATTGACCTCCTATGCTGACCTTAACCACACTGTTCAGGCTGTACTTGAATACCAACCAGTAAGTTTATGCTGTCTCCCCTGCCTGCTAGAATATGTGAGCTATTACCAAGCTCGGATTCAGGCGGGGAAACTAAGCGATGTCTTAGAGGGCTCTCCTGTGATTCCGTGTTTCCATAAACACGTAATGTAAGCCATGATTTGCTCGGAGTTTAAAAAGACACCACCACTGTATACTGGAAAAGATTCATGCTCTTTAGAAAAACTGTAGACTCTTTTTTTCTTGCTTAGGCTTTTATTTTTACACATTCCTGTGATGTTTATCTTCTTACGGAATAAGAGGCTAGCAAAACCAGCTTTTTGATTGCGTTCTGAACATACATTTTAAACACACAATTCCACAGCCAGTGGGAAGTAGGGAAAGGTACTCGCTCGACACCATCTTGTCTGCACAACAATGAACAGAGAGACAGGCTGCACCCCAGCCCTGCAACCACAGCATTGGGTCCGGCATCTCCCATTTCTGCTTTGGAACCCCAGAGCTGTGGGTGGCCTGTCATCATGTTGAGGGTGCACACTGTTGCTGAATTATCCTGACTTTAATCCACACAGCCAGGGATTCCATACTGTTAACGGACCTTTAAAAACAGGTGCTTCAGAAACACTCCTTCAAGATGTGCACGCAGACTCAGAAAGCAAAATGAAGGTCTAACTTTATCTTCCGAAGTAGAAGTGGGTCAGGAAAATAATAACTTGCTTGTGTTAGCATCCATGTGCAAAGTTGTGATCTAGGGCGATTAGCTCAAACTAAGCTGCTTAAACTCACAAATCAGATTCCTGATCGTCAGTCTGTTTTGCCATCAAAACACTAGGTGGTCACCTTGATCAAACTCTCACCATAAAAATGCCCATTACAAGGAAGGCAAGGTTGGGATGTCTTTGGCTACATTAGAAATGAGAGCTCTCTGGGGAGTAGTAAAGCAACACCTATTTATACTAATCAGGAGTTCATTTTCGTAGATTAAAAATGTTTTAAATGTACAATTGAAATAAACTTTTGATACTTTGGTTCACAGATGTTTTTGTTTAGATAACTGTAAAAATAATTGTAACGAAACATTTACCAAGTTTTACATGAATGATTAAAGGACATAGATTACATTCATCAAGTCATACACCCATCACTATGATCCTTTCCCAAAGGATCCACAAGAGCTTTTCAAGAAATCATAGCTGCACTCCTCCGACTCCCCCACCGGGAAGACACACACACTCCGTACCACAGACTGGCGCTGTAGCACTGTCCCCACATGTGCAAGAGGGCAGCGTGGCTAGCTTCCTCCCTCGGGTTTCCGATGCCAGAAGACCAATCGATGCGACTACCCACAGCCACTTTACCCTCGCCTGCTGAGGATGGCATCACGCTCGTCCCTGGCCATTCCTCAGCATGTGTCCTCACAGGATACTGTGCCCGCAAGTCCAGGCAGCCCGATTGAGCTGAAATGCCTTGTTGCTAGAGATGCTACCGCTAAGTGACTCCAAGACTTGACAGATGCTTTAGAAACACTTTTGTGCCGGTGTAAACTAGTCTAAGACAGCATCCTAATGTCTCACACACAGTGGCTTCTATCTGCAGGCTCAGGCCCTGTAGCCCCTGAGAACTTGGCCTCTGTCATCCTCTGGGGTGCTCCTGGGTGCTTTGGTGCAGGATTGGGGGAGAGGCAGCAACTTGCTTCCCCAAGGTATCTTAATCTATTCTTTCTTCCCCTGGAAAAAAACACCCCAACTGCTATTATTTCTGTTGAAAGTGCAAACAAAATTCCATGAGGTCTGTTCGTTGTTGTGGTTAAGCACTCCATCTCCGAGCCCAGGGAGACCACCATTCCGTAACCGGTGGGCTGAGAGCGGCTTCTTTGGAAGGTGCCCAAGCACCTGTGTGTCTGCTTTCACTGCACACACCATCTTGCAAGTCCAGCTGCAGTGTGAGCAGCACATCCTCTTGAAGTCGACCTCCCACCAGTGAAATGAAATGCTCAGGGGCTGAGGGTTACGCAGTCAGAGAGACGCGCAAGTCTACTCTTATAGGGGCTGGCTGTTGCTGAACTGAGCTAGAATCAGAGGCTCATGCTGCAAAGAGGAAACGCTCCTGGAAGCAACTCACCATGATCGTTTCAGCAACACCTGGTCTAGTGTCGTGCTCTGTATACCTGCGCATACACCAGCTAAGTGGATTTTTAATGGGCTACAGCTGTCCTCCCCCAAAGAAAATATAGTTCCGCACATGCAGTCCATTCAAAACTTGACATTATTTTAACTCTGTATCAAATAATTTTTTCCTAAAGCATTTAGCAGACCTTTAAAAATAAATAAGCAGGCCTGCTTATTTCCTAAGATTTCTATTTGAAAGAGACTTTGAAAAGAGAAAATTGCACTTGTTTTCCCTTAAGCTGAAAATTGCACTTATGTTTTCCCTGAAGCTGTTAGCTTAATATTTTGTGTTAGCACATGCAAATAAAGGTTAGCTGTATTAACCTGGTTGTGGTTTAAATGAGAGCCCCAAAGGTGCGGGGAAGGGCAGATTCAGAGCCTCAGGCCCGTCGCTGTGTCGGAGAGAGGAGGCTTCAGTACAGGCCGCACAGCCTGGGAGAGCCTGTGGGCAGTTCTGCTCCGCCCTGGGGAGCCACTGCCCCTTGGAACCACCTTGACGGCTCTGGGTTTGGTTTAGTTACCGTGCCGGCACCCGACCTTTAGGTAATCATAATTTCAAAAAGATGTGGGGCCTTCCTGTGACCAAAATTGGTCAAAACAGCAAAACATAGAAACTGTCTCCAGATGTGGAGAGGAAAACTCCAGAAAAAGGATTTTTTTTTCAAGATAAAAAAGATGAAAAGTATTATGTAAAAGTCCCCAACTCAAATGTAGAACTTGAATTCTTCTTAAGACCAGAATTTCTCTGAATAAAATCTTTTTATAGGAACTATAGTCAATTGGCCATTGCCTCTTTGAAGTTAAAAAAAAGGGGGAGGCAGCATCATAAAGTGAGCCCCCTCTTAAAATAAGTACAGGCCTTTGTATGTTGGTATGTTACCAAATAAGATACTCTGAGCCACGTGTTTGCCTCTCAGAACCAGTGATCGTCCCCTCCCTGCCCCTCCTCACTGTCGAGATAGAGCAAAGCAACCTTGTCTTCATCGGAAACCACTGACCGCTGGTCGACCATCCTCTGTAGCTGCACTGTCTTATCAAATGCAGCCTGCTCCCTGCCTTTGGGCTCTTGGGCCTGGTTTTTGTCACCACCCCAGACCTGAGAGCTCCCACCCTCTGCCTGGTCTTCCCTACTGCCAGCGTCTCTCCAGGCACCGTGTTCAGCCATGCTGGGAGCTGCCACCTCTTTCGCTGCAGAGAAGACGCTAGTGGACTCTTGTGTCCAACGGGTGGTATGGGATGTCGCCGCGATGGGACTCACATCCATCTGAAAAGCAAAAAAGTTTCTTTGGGCCCCAGTCAAACATGGTGGGGTGACCTGCTGCTGTCTGCTAACTCCTCTAGCTCAGGGGAGCCCACGGAACCAGCCACTGCAAATATTCTGAAGACGGCATCATGGGAACAGTGAGTCCCCTGGTTTCTGTTTCGGGGGGACCTAGTCTAACGTGCCCGCAGGACCTGCGGATGTCTGAGGTCCCAGCTGCCTCGGATGAACTTCCAGCACCACCCTCCTGAGGAGATCCAGGAGTGGCCATTGGGCAGTGCTTTTCTGCCACACGAATTGCTTTTCCTGAGGTGTAACTGCACGTGGCTTGGGTTTTGTCTGCCGAGCCCCCTGTGAACAATGCTTCGTGAGTCATTGACCACCGCAGGCTGGGAAGAGTCCTGGGCAAACTCTCTGCTCAGTGGTGTGATGCATCTGTGGACCAATTATGCCTACGCCTGGGGGATGTGCTATGGGCAGTGTGCGCAGAACTTCCTCTGACCCCAGCTCCATTTCCTCTAAAGGGGGCTTGCGAACTGGATCGGCTCCCTGAGCCCTTCTTCAGGGTATGATTTGAGGTGCCTTATAGAAGTCTGGATAACTAGGGACTCATTGAAAATAATCACCAACCTTCCCTGCCCCAGGAATAGGGCCCTGAAAAATGATTTCCCTTTTAGCAGGAAATTGTTTGGAGCCAAACGTGACCTGTGTCCCTGATTGGTCGGTGTCGGCCAAACTGGCCTGGCTAGCCCCTGCTTTAACCCATTCCTCCTGGAGGGCAGTAGGCTTCCGGGGACACTCGACTCAGGTTAGGACCCAGCTTAAGGTGCCTCACAGAGCCCCTGGCTCCTGCTACATGCTCTGCCTGATTAGGGGCATCTTCTCTACTCACCTCAACCACTTCTGAGGTGAGTCCTTCGGACGGGACTTGCGCAGCCCTCCACAGCTCCGTGGGGATTATCTGTATGTGCTGTACCGACTGGCTGACGTCCTCCAGCACCTGCGACTGGGCAAGGCCCCTGGGGCTGCTGACTTCCAACGTGGCCGATACAGGCCCCTGGAAGGTGGTCTGCTGTGTGCCAGAAGAGGCCTGGCTGGCATCACCACCCTCACCAGGGGGGCTATACAGTTCCCTGGTGGCCCAGCGCTTGAAGCCTGTGCCAGCGGCCGGGGGCTCTGCTCCACCTGCCTTGCCGGGGCTTCCAGGCACTTGGTTCTGCCTCTTGGTCAAACTTTCTCGGACCACTGACTCCACAGCTCTCTCAATTTCATTGGCTTCATATCTGCCCAGCTCATCCAGATCTAACTGATCAGCATCGACAGTCTGTGAGAGGTTGACTTCAGCGACCAAGGTCATGGAGCCCCCACCCCTGGCCTGGACCTTGTGGACATCCACAGACACGCTCCCAGGCTGGCCTGCGCCTTCGCGCGTGAGGGCGGATAGCTCTTCTAGCATTCGCTCTGGAAGGCTTTCCTCCAGCTGCCCCATAACCTCCTCCAGTTGGTGCTTCGGCTCCTTGGAGAAGACTCCCTGAACAGATGTGTGGACTTCACGTGGTATTTTAATCTCCTTCTCAATGATGGTGGGCTCCGTGTGAAGCTGGCCACTTTGAGTTTGTCCCCTCCGATGGGAAGACTCGGGGCCGCCCTCCAGAGGAGCAGCAGCATCCACAGGCTGCACGACCTCCTCCCATGGGTCGTCCATCTTCCTCCTCCTCCGAGCCCCTTGCACGATTTCATCTCGCCACGAGTACTTGATGGTAGATTCTTCTTCGATGTGGATCTGACCGTACACCGAACCTTCGTCTCTGTCATGGCCCCCCTGCTGATCATCTGGAGTGGACACAAAGTAATTCTGCCCTCCCTCCCAGTCGCCGGCCTCCATCACTTCTTCAACACGGGTTACGCTCAGAGGGGACTGCTCGGTTTTTTCACCCAGACGGCCTGAGAAGGTGCTCTCTGCCTCTCCATACTCTGCCCTCTCAGCAAGCCCCTCTGTTTCGGGAGACACATCGTCGGCCTCCTCCACCTCAAACAGCGTGGAGAACTCCTCCGCTTTCTCTTCTCCTACGGAGCTCATGGGCTCCTCGATGATGTGCACGTTGACGACCTTCGCCCTCCCCTCTCTCCCCTTCAGACCAAGATTGATGATATCTCCTATCATCCGCTCCGTGGACTTCCCTTTCAGCTCCACTTCGTTCACATTCTTTCTTAAAAGGTAGTCCAGGCCGGCTTCGTCGGAAACATCGACATCCTCCGTCAGTCTGGACTCCACGACGATTTCTGTCTTGGTTTTCCTGTCCCCACTGAGCTCTTTCCTTTCCATGTAGGTGACTTTTGTGTCGGGGAAAGAAGTGGCAGGGGCCTCTGTCTCCTGAGGCTGCACGAACTGCTCAAGGATACTGGAGACAATGTTTTCTGCGATGGCGGTGGTCCTGGAATCACCAGTCAGAGAGCTGGGGGCATCGCCTGCGTCCAACCTGAACCTCATCGCTCTGGTTTCCGTCTCCCTTCCTGTCCCACCACCAACATCCTTCTTGACGGACGTCTGGGAGCCTGTTGGGGACACCTTTGGGACGCCGCCCTGGGAGGCTTCTAGCCGGATTGGTGTCGTTCGCTCTTGAACATTTCTCTCCCTCTGTGATTCCTCCCTTTCCGTCTGTTCCCTTGTTTGCTGACTTTCCGTCTTCCTTGCTTCCTTATCCAACTTGGTCAGCTCTTCCCACCTTAAATTTCTTTCCTCGGAAGCCTTCTCTTTAGAATCAAAAACTTTCTCTTCTTGCTTTGTCCTGATAGTTTCTGGTATGTGTTTTCCCTGCTCCCTTGTGGTTTTCGCTTCTGTTTTCTTCCCTGAAGTGATGGTCCTCTTGCTTGACCCCGTCCTCTCAGAAGCGCCCACTGCCTTGCCGTCTTGCTGGTCTTGGGGTGACGTGGGGGCACTGGTGGCTCTCCTGCCTTTGTCCCTGGTCATGTCACGTGCACCTTCCGTCTTCGGTCTTCCAGGGAGTGTTTTCACATGGGTTTCAGTGTTTCTTACAAGACCATAGGTTGGAGAAAAAACGTTGAAACCGGTCTGACCGTTGGCCATTTCTCCATAAACATTTTCTTGCCTGGTGGGAGCCACAGGTGAATGCCCAGAGCCCAGGAAGCCTCCCTGGGCAGCACTTCCAAGGCCCATGCTTCTCTGCGACCCAAGGTTCCTCGGCAGGTTAGAATATGGCCAGGGGCTATGATTTACTCTCACGGGAGGGGCTTTCTGTGGAGGAAGCAGGTTTCTTTCATTTTCCCTCTGGAATACTGAGTTGATGTGTTGATAGGCGTGCCTGAATTCTGCAAGAATTGAACAAAATGTTGTTTACTGATAGTCATCGTTAAACTTTTTTCATCTTAAAAGCATCAAACTCAAAAGTTCACTGCCATGGAGTTGATGCTGACTCATAGGTAGACATGCCTGGTGGGTAGCAGAAAGCCCCTTCTTTCCCCGTCAGAGCACGGGGGGTTACAACTGCTGACCCTTAGCAGCCCAGCCTGCAACCCACGAGGCCACCAGGCTGCCCCTTAAAAGCATCACAACAGATCACGTCATGTCCTGTCATGGTACCCGGTTAAAGAAAGGTCATTATAAACAACGCATTTTAGATGCCCAGGCTACACTCTGGTAGTTTACAAAACCCTGATCCAAGACGATATTGTACTAGAGATACCTTAGTCAGTCTAGCACTTTTTCTCCAGTTACTTATCTTAAAATATTCACTCACTTTAAATAAAACACCAAAGGTCTGAATATAAAGCACAAGACAGAGGCAGCGAGGCCAGGGTACTAAGCTTGAGGCTGATATTTCACAACCTTATGTTATTTTGGAATCCTTCATTTCCACTTTTAGTTTATTTTACTTATTTCAGGGAAGAGCTTTATAATGAGAAAGTGTACAGGTGAATTACAAAACACCTGATCACACCACCACTCTCCGTTTGATATGCTTTTATTCTTCACTGATTTCTATGTTGGGACAACAAATCTTGAGGAATTAAACTTTTTTTTTTTTTTAAGCTTCAGGATTTCTTCTATTTTTATTCTTGACTGCCTTGTTATTCGAAAAGGAGCCAATGCAGGCCAAAGCAGACCCATCACCAACTCTGCTGTCTGGTTTAATTTTACAGTCTGGAGTTGTGAGGCAGTCTACAGGACTCTCTGTCCACAACCACTCGAGGAGGTGAAACTCCTCCAGGGTAACCTGCCCTTAAGAATGGCCGCCTGCAGTTAGCACATGGCCACAAGAGTGCCCCGGTGTGCCCAGCCAGGCCCCGTCTGGCTCAGCTGGGATGCAGCCTTCCCCTTTATGGTCTCCCCAAGGCGGCCTACACAAAGGCCGCATTGAGGATAATCCCAGGACACACGAGAAAGGCCAGGCCAGAACATTTCCCAAAGATTCCTCCTTTCAATTTCACCGCTACCAGATGGAAGTCTCGGAAGTCACCAGAGGTGACTGCGCAGGAACCAGGTGGTCTGGAAGGAGAGCCAGTGAGCCAAGATCTCAGGCTAGTCTGGGTCTTGTCATCTGCTGGGTGCTCAGCCAACATTGTGGTATGCCCAGTTACCAAGTAAGCCTAAATGTATTCATAAATATTGGTGAATTCATTATTTAGAAACAGTCATTTGCTTATTCAACACAGGTTATTGTGGCCCCTAATATTATACAGGGCAAAGAACTACTTAGAAGCTCAAAGTCTAACACAATAGTTCACAACCGGTCGTCTTTACCCTAATGCTTACTTTCTTTTGGCATAAGACACAATTGCACAAACAAGTTTAGTTTAAGGATATGAAGTCTGTGCCCATCAGAGACTCCCTGGTGGTGCAAGTGGGTAACATGCTTGGGCACCAACACGATCATGGAGGGTTTGTCTTCCCAGAGCACCTGGGAAGAAAGGCCTGGCCATCTACTCTGGCACACAGGGGTCCCTGTGGGTTGGAATCGACTGGAGAGACACAGGTAGGTTTGTTGGTTGACTTAAAAGTATCAGTCATTAGGTCTTGGTTCAAAGCTCTTTTTTTCTCGATATAAACTCTCTAGGCCACATGATGCACTTTTGGACTTAAATATCCACAAGTTAAACAAACAAACAAGACCTCTGGTGACTCTGTTGTTACTAGTTGGTATGAAGTCAGTTCTCCTTATGGACATCAAATGTTGCATGGTCCTATGCCAGATCACTGCTACGTTTGAGGGCCTCGGATAGCTTTGTAAACCATAAAATCCAGTGAGCGAGTATCTTATTTTGTGCATGTCACGTGTTAATCCATGCCAGACAGACAGACTGACTGTTGTGGTTGTTAGGTGCCCTCGAGTTGGTTCCGCCCTGAACCGAAACCCCACCTGGCCCTGCGCCCCCCTCCCGATGGTCGTCACGTTCCAGCCCCCCCTCCTGTTGACGGTCTCCGTCTTCTGCACTGACCTCTTGCCCGGGCCCTGCTCTCTCCGGATAACATGTCCAAAGTCCCTGGACGAAGTCTCACCATCCTCACTTCTAAGGAGCATTCTGGCTGCACTTCTTCCAGGACAGGCTTGCTATTCATCAGGACCGTAATTCCCACACATCCAGTCTTTTAGTGGCCCCTTAGCTAGAGATCCATGCTATTTTCAAAGTGACTCTTAAGATCAGAAAGGAGACACTGTCAACGAGAATGCTGTTTTCACTCAGAGAGGATTAGAACACAGTGACCTGTCCAATCCTTGAAGTGCCTACAAGGGATCGTGTTTCACTTAAGAAGTAAAGGTAGAAAGTATTATGAATGGAAAAAAAAATTAATCCTCCATGAATAATTGCCTCCTATGCCATGGGACTTGTAGATCTGCATGGTGCTGGGCTCTAAACATTAAAGGGTTTGATCAAATACTCTAGAGAATTCTGATCAAAAGGAGGAACATTTTGGAACAGAATTTCACATACGCAATGGAATCCAGACTGTCTAGAACCATGAAGGTTGCATGAACCTCTAAACTACTGTCCACAGATAGTATTTAAATCTTAAACTTCAACTCCAAACTATCCCTTCTGAAGTTTTCTTTGAACCAAACAATAGTTGTTCTTAATTAGTACAGTCTGAGAGTGTGCTTTTTCAAAACAAGAATCTACGTGGGATCGCGTTGGCAACAGCAACTGGAAAGGTTACTGAGACAGTTGGTGAGCCATGGCTTTATGCTGACTGTGGTGCAGTATTGGAAAGGGAGCGCGAGAATGGTAGAGCACCTTGAATATAGTCAATGCCCACACTACACATGCAGAATTGACTGGTCGAAATGGTGTATCTTTTCAACAAAAATAATTTAAAAAAATCTACTCTCTCTCCAGATTGGTTGTTAATTAACCATCTCCCAATGCAGGTCCCCATTGCTGTGTCCCCCATTCACCATCATTTTGAATATGATAAAGCACTCAAAAATACCGAAATGATGCTGCCTAAGCAAAATATTGAGCATAACTGTATGTAATTAATCGTTCAAGCTTAGTCAGAAAACCTACGATTTTGTAAGGTTTTAAAGGGGAAGGGTTACGTCAGGTCTTTTACTACCAGTCGCTGTGAAGCAGAGGTGTGGCTCACAGCGTCCCTACCTGTGACACACACGGTAGGACTGTGCTCCACAGGGTTTTAGAGGGTGATTCCTGGGAGGCCCCTGGGTCAGTGGTTCTCAACCCGTGGGTCGCGACCCCTTTGGGGGTCTAACAATCCTTTCACAAGGGTTGCCCAATTCATAACAGTAGCAAAATTACAGTTATGAAGTAGCAGTGAAAATAATGTTAAGGTTGGGGGTCAGTACCACGAGGCGCTGTATGAAAGGGTCGTGGCATGAGGAGGGTGGAGAACCGCTGCTCTGGGTGGACTTGCACCTCCAATCTTTTGGGTAGCAGCCAAGTGAATGAACTACACCACCAGGCGCACTCAATTAGCATCTAGTTGCTTCTTAATGGAGGGGAGAACCAATGATCTGAAAACCCACATTTAGTGCCTACCCTTCAGGGCTTACTCCTTACAGAAGAATGAAGTATTCCCATAGAAAACCAGTTGACGTTACAGAATGGGCTTGTGAAACATTTACCTTGGGGTCTATTTTCAATGTGTTCAGTCCAGACCAGTATTTCTGGGTTACTTTCTCCTTCCAGTAAGGCTCTGCAAAACATAATTTTTGAAAATAATTGATTAGGAAATAAAAGAGCAAGAAAGGTCTCTAGTCCAATACATTATGCAGTACTTTGTCCCTGCCTATCCTGTCACAGTGCCATATGCTTTAGGGCTCACTGCAGTGTCCCTGGGACCCAGCACAGCACCTGCCTCCTGATGTTTACTGAGCACTGTAAGGGGGCTCATTCTACCCCAACCTCCACCGGGGTCTTTCTGGAACTGGAGGCAGGGGGCACCGAGTGCGCTGAGCAGCGGCAGATGGGTGACAGTCCGAGGAAGAGCGGGCATCTGTTTGAGAGCAGAGCCGCTGGCCTGCACAGGGCACTCTGGAGAGGAGGCAGAGCGGTGGAAGGTGGGCAGGTAGAATGGGAGAAGCTGCCGACCACCCCCTACACCACTACCCTACCACGGGGGTCTTCACTCCACCCAGAAACACTGCCTGGTCCCTCCTGCCACACTGCAGTGCAAATCCCCGACGCCTTGCTCTCATGCTGCTGCTGCTGGTAGCTACTGGTGCCTTAGCCCCTGGCTCCTGGCAACCCCACGCACAGAGGAGGGAAGGGCCGCCTGGTCCATTCCATCCCCGTGACCGAGTGCAGACCACACTGGTGTGGCCCACGGTCTTTCCACGGGATGAGTTTTGGAAGTAGCTCACCAGGCCTTTCTTCCCAGTCCCTTTTAGTCGGACGTTCCCCTGAAGCCTGCTCAGCGTCATGGCAAAGCTTCCCTGACGGACAGGTGGGGGCTGTGCAGGAGGTCCAGCGGTTGGGAATCAACCCCAATCTCCTACATGGAAGGGAGCATTCCGAAACCGGACCATCTCTGGGCCCAGAGCGCCCAGTTATGAAAGTCTAACATTCTGGAGTCATCCATAACCCTATAACACCGAGTGCAACATTTTCGTAACATTTAATTAAATGTATATATTAATATATATTGATAACTATGAAAGTAAAGAAAACAAAAAAAAATTTTCCCTGAAATTAAGAATTCAGGCATTATAGGGTTAAGTTGTTACTCCCATCTCTGCCTCAGGCTCAGGGGTTCCACAAACCCAGCGCTGGTGGTGGGTTCAGCAGGAGGCACAAACTGGGGCACAGCAGCGGCTGGGTTGCTAGAGCGACGGGGGACGTCCAAGAAGCACACAGTCTCTGACCAAGGGCACCGAGAGCCAGAGCTCCTGTGGTCATGCCTGCGAGGGGCACCGAGCAGAGCAGGCACCCGTGGTTTGGGGAAACTGGCAACAAGTTCTGTTTCCACTGGTTTAAGTGTGGCGACTCCACTTGAAGGAAGCAAGGCGAGCAGCCAGGCGCAGAGAGAAAGGAAGGAAATGATAGGAAAAATCCTACTCAAAATGTGCAGGTTCGTGGTGGGAACAAGCAATGAAGTCTACTCAGGAGACGTGCCAGCTGTTCCGGGCCCAGGAAGAGAGCTGGTCTGCAGCCACCTGCCCAGCCCATCTCGGCCCTACAAGGTTCCACCCGGGCTGAGCCAGGAAACAGGACACCCGCCCTACTCCTGCCACCCCATGACCAAGCACTTTACGTTCCAGAAACACAAATAGCTCCCAGCTCGTTGAAAATTCCAAGGCCTATACGCTAAGAGGAATATTCAGGGTAAAAGCCGCCTCCCCAGTGTCCGTGTCTCCGAACCACAGCCGCACAAGAGCGGCCCTAGGCACGGAAGGCTCTGGAGATCCTGTGCGGGGAGACGCGGACCCTCTCTCTGCCAGCTCCGCAGCTTCTCACTGGGCAGCTGAGACAGCAGGGGATAAAATGCTTACTGCCACCCGGTCGGCCCTAAGATCGGAACCAAAGCCGGTCTGCCGGGCTCAGGTCAACAGAGAGCAAAGAAAAAAACCAGTCCTCCAGCCTCATACAACGGAAAACACTGTCCTTCCTCTTTTGAGAGAAACCCAAATAATCACATCACCACCAAGCAGCTGAGAAGGGGATAGGGGATAAGGCCCCACCCAGGCTCATCGTCTGAGGGGACAAAGGCCCTCATACCAAGGGACTGGTTAGCACTAGTCACCCCCGTGGCTCTACTCACGTAGCTATGAGTCTGAGCAGTTCTCCTGGGAAGGCCACCGGCCGGGGCCCAGGACCCTCCTCCCCCTTGATCGGTGCGAATACCAAGTGCAGAGCCAGTGTCTCCACTGAGGTCTCTCAAGGCAGCCTGGCTCTCGCAAGGGTACTCTCAACCACTATTGCATATGCAAATTCTGCAGAAAGCTCCTCCTGGCTCCTCGCTGCGGTCCATGGCCCTGACCCCAGGGGCTCCATGGACAATGGTCCTGCGCCATCATCCATACCATCACGATCCTTAGGACTCCTGGGACTGGTTTTAAGGAGATCACCAGCCTTTCTTCCTAGCCCATCTTCGCCTGGAAGCTCCGCTGAAACCTGTTCAACACGACAGTGACACACGAGCCTTCAGACAGACGGGTGGTGGCTGTGCATGAAGTTCACTGACTGGGAATCGAACTCAGGCCTCCCACAGGGCAGGTGAGAATTCCCACTGAAGCTCTACCAAGTAGAGCACATCATACTAAGTAAAGTCAATTTAATGCCTATTAGTGCTTTTACTCAACCCATCTCTGGAGTAACAGGGCAGTGAAGATTTAATTTGGCTCTTCTAGTCATATCCAGCTCCCATCAAACAATCATTTCCCGATGGGTCTAGGTAGATGGAGGGAAGGTACTGATAGGATTTCGCAGTGTGTGCGAAAAGGATCCATTGTGATTTCCCTCTTGCTGGGAAGAAAAGGAGTCATCTCACAAGCAGGAGGGGATTGCACCACCACCAAGGGCCAGGAGTGGAGGGCAACCTCTGGATCCCGAGACTTCGATGCAAGGAACCTCCTGGAGCCAGGAGACAACTTTGGCACCCTCGCAGCAGCAGCAGAACCAGGAGCCCGAGCAGTGGACTTCCCAGCTCACAGAGGAAATAAGGCTGAGTGGGTTGGGGCAGAAAGCTGGCTTGTGGCATGGGGTGCCTCTGGGTGCTTAATTCAGAGTTGAGTTTACAGACGCAGGGAAAAAGAGCTAAGGGCCTTTAGGCTGAGGCTTGCAGCAACGTGGCATCCCTTTGGACATTTATTAGCAGTCCTAAAAGGACTCTGTAGCATGTCCTGACTGAGTACGTCTATCCTGAGCATTTCAACAGGCTAAGCTCCATAATAAACCCCAGCAACATGAATTCTGCGTGGCCACGGCAATGAATTACAGAACCCAGCAAACAAGTCGAGCGTCATACAAGGAAAAGTAGTGTTGCATGAGGCAGCACTGGGGCTCTCCCATCATAAAACTAAGCTCCCACCGGGGAAGGATACCCCATCCCCAGATGGCTCCTGGAAGGTGGGGCCATGTGTGAGCTTACACAGCAGAGCACTGCTGATGTTAATTCATGTGTTCTCAGATACTTCTGACACAGAGACAATGCTGCCTCCCAGCAAACTCACAGAAGTCTTGTGTGTCAGTGGTATAGACAAATCCTCTAAGGAGATGGTAGGGTTGGTGATCGCTCCAAAAGCCCTTTAAGACTTCAAGGGTCATCCAGCAGGGGCAGGCTCCCACAGCGTAAAGAGCTGGACAGACGGTCCTCACAGGCTCCAAGGAAACCCAGCTATTTTGAGAGCAGTGGAGGAAGACTGCCTCTGGGAAATGCCAATCCGTGAATCACAGGCTATTAGGGAACATTTCATACAGCACCCAAGGCTGGCAGCCTCACAGCAAAAGAAAAAGCACGTGTGAGTAAAAAGAAGTCCCCTGCTTCATGACAGAGTCTGACATACAGCCATGGTGTGAAAGTGGTCTGGGATATGGCTCCAGGCTCAAACAGCCCTCTGCCGCCTAGTCCAGTCTAGTCCAGAGGATTGTGACTGAGCTGCTCAGCCATGGCCAGCCACCGTGCTCATGGTATCACTGAACCCTGCATCTATCCTGAAAGGACAGGGGGCCAGATGGAGGGAGGGACGGCAGATAGCACTTCAGAAGGGATGTTTTCAGGACCAGAGAGTACTCATATGATGCATTCCAACGTAAAAGCAGAGGGGGAGCTGAGGAAGAATAAAGGAGGGGCCATGGACCACAAAGCTGCAGGAGGGCACCGACCTCACAATCATTACTATGTTTGAGACCCTTGTTACAGCCACTGTGTCTATCATTTTGCTAAGGGTCTTCCTCTTGTTTACTGCCCCAGTGAATTACTTACCAAGTGTGATAGTTAGGGTTATTGTGCCAACTAGACCTCCATAGGAACATGAAGGAAGAGTTTAATCAGTCGCATCTTGATTGGAGGGCAACCGAGAAAAATACTTTCTGAGGTTGGCATCCCATCTCTCATCTCTCTTTCTCCCTGGTGATCAGACCAGCCTGCTATTGCTTGAGCTAGTTCTTTGCCTCAACCATGTGCTGCACTACCTGTGGGCTGAGCCAACCCCTGGATGGAGGCTTGAGGCTCCTCTGAGACCTGCTTTACTGCACTGCTTGCACGTACATTGCTTGAGCTCGAAGATGGTGCATCGTGTTGCCGCTCTTACATCACTTGAGTTCAGGATACCCTGGGGCCTGCTTCGCTAAGCTCCTGGCACTACTGACTGTTGCTGCCCCTCCCTGCTGCCTGCAGGCCCCACTCTGCCTGTCTTTCCTAAGGGCAGACTCCACTTTCTGCTTCCTTGATCCTGGACAGGCAGCCCATTTGAGGTGGCGGGCCTTCAGTATATTAACTGTTGCACAGAAGTGAGATGAACTGAGCCCTCTGTTCTGCTGTGTGGACTAATTAGCCATTACATTCCTTCTCACTATATAGACCTCTCCTCTTATATATAGTTAATCCTAAGTGTCCTAGTTTTGTTTCTTCTCTAGAGAACTCTGCCGAACACTCCAATCACGGTGTCCTTCTCCAGGGACCGATCCCTCCTGATAACCTGTCAAAAGTACATAAGCTAAAGTCTTGACCTCTATCCTTCTAAGGAACATTCTGGC